CATAGACCCAGACTATAGAGAGAGAATCAACTTCAACATCACTACTGGATCACTAGAGATGAAGAGTCTCACTCTGAATGATAGTGGGTCTTATCAGATAAACATTAAAACCTCAGGAGAATCTGCAGTCCAACATGTCAGCCTCGAAGTGTTGGGTGAGTTGCAACATACTGATGAATACTATTAAATTCCATAATTGATTTTTAACGTATTACAGTTATGTATTCTTTTAATGATGACTTGCATTGTGACCTTTGTGTAAACTGCACTAATTGCTTAAATCAAACTTTGTTTTTCATTGGGGGGGGGGGGGGGGGGTTGAGGTCTCCATTCTTTTAGGGAGTGACATGATTATTGATTATTAAATCATCAGAGACCAAAACACATTTTTCCAAATCAGTTTTTCATGCTGATTCCATATCTGTTTTCAGTTTTTTTCCTGTCACGTCAACTTTTTGATTTATGAGTAATGCTAGTTAATACTATAATTGCAAGTATTGTGTACTAAAACAAAAGCATCACTGTAGTATAGGGTAAAATATTCTTTAGAGCAAAATGAAATAAACAGCAAAAATAAAAAAGACAGTGGGCATAAAAAAATTGAAAAGTGTTTGTTAACCACCATTGTTTCTTCAAAAACGATTTGAGTTTGATTGTCTTGTGTACACCATGTCTGGATTGTCGCGGTACAGCATCCAGCAGTAGTCGGCCATCATTCTTTCACTGTAACCAGCTGCACCTTCTCCGTACTCCACATCACCTTCTACAGAATCAAGACCATCATGTGGCGGTACAGGAACAGGCAATGAATCGTCATGAGGAACAGGCCTGATTGCAGAATCTAGGCTGGGATATACAATTTTTGTATTCTTGTATTCGTACGGTAAAAATAGCAGTCGTTGAGATGGTCTCATGGTTCCCTCCACACCATCAGAATTCCAAATGGCATTGCTGCCTTTCGCCAATTTAGGTCACGGAGACCATTTGAACAACTGCTACAGATGACATGTGGAGCCCAAGATATTTAATACAATTTCTAGGCATGATAACAACTGAAAGCCAACACAGTTGATGCTGTCTGTCACCTCCGCCTTCGATTTCCAGGTCGATGACCCAGAATTCAAACTCGAGAGTATTTTAGTATTTCTTTTACAACAATTTGAGAAAATAAAAATTTGTCGAACGTTACGTCAACAAAACGAAACCTGAGGCACAACTACCTATGTTTCCCGCCAAACTAAGTTGTATACACAAGACATGGGAATGCGCAGTAGGTCAAATTAATTATACTCAAATCGCAACTAGACAAGTATCAATAAAACATACATCAATATCTAGTCACCTAGAGAACGGTGATGCTGTCTATAAGATAAAAAACAGACAACTCTTGTAATACACTTAGGCAGACTACATGTACATAATATCATACTACATATACAGTAGCTTCATCACAAAAACTTGACGTGCTAGAGAAGAACTAAACACAGATTTGAAATCAGCATGAAAAATACTGCAAAACCCACATAAAATTACCTCTGACGAAAATGACCTGTTAAGCTGTGTTACTGGCAGGGTGATAGCCCCCAGAAACCAGAGTCCCCAGCGGGGACCGCACAACAACATGGAAACAAACTTCACACACATGGAGACTTGAACCCAGGTCCCAGCAGTGTGAGGCAACAGTGCTAATCACTGCACCACCACACCCATGTACAGCATCACTGAAACAAACAAATACATAAATAAAACCTGCAATAAATACAGTAAATAAAACGGGAAGAAAAGTAACATACTTAATTTAACAGTTTAAGATGGGTTCGGGAGAAGACTCCTTTTTTTTTTCTTCATAAAACCCCAATATTTATTACAACAAAATCACATTGCAATACTTGAAAAATTTCCAGTTCCATGATGTCATAGTATATTACACAAAATATTTTATTACTTGTTATGCTATCCTGACCTTCTTGGATGTCTTCTTCCGACCAGATCACAGTTAAAGCTTGTGTCACTTTATTTGTCCATACATCCATTATTATTCATTTTATTATTTCTTAGTCTGTGACGTATTAGGTCAACCAGACAAAGCCCAATACTAACAGTCATGAACAAACACTAAGGGCTTCAGACACTAGGAGAGACTAGGAACAAAGGTGAAACAGAACAGAACCATAAAACTAAAGCTTAGAAGGGATAAAAACAAAGGCAGACAGCGAGAACCAATACAGAAATACATAAACATAAACATGGGTAAATTCCACCATGGGTAAGTGCCACCATACTTCCAGAAAGGG